TCAGGATGGGGTTCAAATCAGGGAAGTGACCATATAATCATACCGGTTGACTGGAATGCGGATCTCACAGCACATGGCCATCCCCTTATTCCCACTACTTGAGTCCAGAAACTCACTATCGACAAGAAAGGTTACTTGCTAGATTTCTCCATCTGGGTTTGTAGTTGTGCCGTTCACGTGGATGGTTGCACTGCAAGCCATTGACTTCTAGAACAACCTGGGACGAAGTAGAATGTCCAATATCAGTTACCAGACGTTCAGTTTTAGCTTACATGATACAAGTAGAAGTTAGCCGCGACAGCATAAATCCTGGGGCGAAACCGTTATACACGTCTCACGCCACTCATGGAGGGTGTCATTGAGAGTTGATTAAGCTAAAGGGAAAACCCGAGACTAAAGCATACCTATTATAGAGAAGAGCAGGCAAAAAAGAGAATGCATTACATTATTCACGCAATTGAGAGCACATAAAAGCATAAACACAGAAATCCATCATCTGGGCCAACATATGATGCGAAAATCTTTATTTCCATGGATGGTCAAGAACATTTTATATGAGCAATTCTATCGACAAAGTCATCGTTCCAAAGGCTGCACCAGACATAGGCATTCCTCAGTTCCAAATTCCCTTTTCAATCACACTAACGGCAGATGTGCAACGCTAGTTAATTAAGATCCCGAACCCTGTCATATCCTTGCTTCATCAGAGTTGGATATGCAAGAGTTCCATTTTGGTTAAAATGATGGCGCGTGAAGATTTGACCGTTTATTTCATTATTAATGTAATCTTCCGTAAATGCCACTTTACATGTTGGCAAAGAGAGCAGCACCACCCATGAGAGCACCCATAGCGACGGCAGCAGTGGGCATGGCACCAGCGTTGTCACCAGTAGCACTGCTGGCGGCAGCACCAGCACTGCTCTCGATAGCACCGATCTTAGAGGTGCGCGCAGCGATCTCGGACTCGATAGCCTCGCTGGCAGTACCAGTAGCAGTGGCGAGATCAGAGCTGAGAGAAGCAATCTCATCCTCAATGGCGCTGGAGGCACTGGCAAGAGCGCTGGTCACGCTGCCGAGGGCGCTGGTGTCGACAGTGCTGGATCCGGTCTCGCTCTCGGTCTCTGCGGAATCGGTGGCGGTGGAAGCATCAGTCACGGTTGTGGAAGCACCAGTCTCGGTGGCAGTGCTGATGCGAGAAGAGATATCGCCGACGCGAGATGAGACCTCATCACCGACGCGGGTAGAGACATCCTCAATGATAGAGGAGGCATCACCAATTCGGGAGGAAACATCGCCAATGATAGATGAGACCTCATCACCGCCAGGGATGGAGATTGACTGGGCCTGTATCATGTTAGCAAGGCAAGCCTGCGAACCTTGGGGAAATAGAGTATCATACCTGAGAGTAGGCAGCCAGGGCAGCGAGAAGAGTGACAGCGGAGTACTTCATGATGTTGGTGTTGTGGATGAGAAGATTGGACTGAGAAGTGCTTGTTTGGTGATGTGTGAGTCTGATCTTGAATTGAATTGGTTGCCAGCGGTGAATGAGAGGAAAGGAGAGAAAGGATAGAAAGTCTGGAAGTCAAGACGTTTTATGGACACAGACCGAGACAGTTGGACACGAACTATGCCATGCTATGCCGTGTATCTTGGCTGACTGCATTGCACTGGGGCCTTTGACGATGACTTCTATTCGCACACCCCCTTCACCCCGGACTGTCCGCCCTAGCTCCGGACCTTGGCGATTCGTACATATGCTTGGAGAACGGTGGAGGCACGTCCAGTCGTAGTTAGGTCATCGATCGACACAGCCAACAGCGCAGTTGACGGACCAGAAACGGACCTGTACCTCCCAAATACTCGTGCTTCAGGTTGATGTCAGTCATGCTACTGCTTCTCTCAAGCCTCTGTACCAGTGCAATATGCCATACACTGTGCACCTTGTGTAGATCTCGCCCAGTCAGAGCTGTCCTCTAAGACGCTTTGTGCATACAGCACTCAGAAGAGCTTCCAGATGTAGTGGCCTCAGCTGCCCCTAGCTTACGTTATGCAAGGCGAAGGATATACAACATCCCACGTCTCAGCTCGCCCTACACGAGACCGCCGGGAATAACTCAGCAGGTACTCAAACGGAGGTCGACCCATTCTTTGGTCATTGTCTTTTGTGCAGAGCTGAGCCTCAAGCTCACGCGGCATGTCTTGGGGTTTAAGGTATTAGGTACAATGACTTAGGTGCCTACTAAGGTGGTAATGTTGAAAGGAGCGCAGGATCCAGGTCATGAATGCAGCCTGGACAGCTACCCGATCCATTCGAATCGTGAGGCATAAGTGATTCACCGAAACGACCGACTTTTGATAGTCAAGCTCATGAGAACCTGCATAATATTCCGTGACCAGGGTTTCAGTGCCGTTCTCCGAGTTGTATCAGAAAAACCAGAAAATGAGCAGCAATGGATGTCGAAGTAAAGAAGCAAGAAATGGGAGGCAGCAGCGGGCTTTTCTTGGCTACCAGGTGCACCCTGTAGTCTGCAAATCCTCCATCATCTTTCATCACGATCTTGCGCATGTGCTGTAACAGGCGTGTTCATAGCGTTAGAGGTTCTGGCTAGTGCAGCTACAGACTGCACGCTTCAAACATATGTACATCCGGGGGGGGGCCGCCAAGGCGAGACTGGGCCAAGATTTGTGATTGGGGGCAACAAATTTGGTTCGCCTTGGTTGAAAGCAAGAAAATTGTTAAAGCCAGCTCCAGTTGATGAAGCCGACTCCCGTGAAGTTTGAGGACAAACTTGTTCTGACGTTATGGACTAAAAACAGAAGTGGGACCGAATTGAGTACGGATACGTCAGCCACGGTCGCCACAGCATCGGCTCTGTCACAGCCACGCCCACGCGCCACGTAAGACGATCACATCTTGCACATCCAAGGAAGCAGGGAGAAACTGAGAAGACTACCTAGGTAGGCTAGTACCTACCTCTATTTTAGCATACATACATAGGTACAGACTTACTCTTCCAAAGGGTCCTTGCTTGCTTGCGTCGTCCATCGTCTAAAAAGATGAAAGCGCCGGCATCGCCTCGTCCCTTTTCTCATGATCCTGTAGTCAATCCTGCCGCTGTCTTCGCCTTCCCTAATGCCAATGTCTCTATCGCGTAATTTTAGATGACTCTTTGCGTCACGGTGGGGCTTTTTGGGATGGGAGCTCCACACTTTGTTTGCTGGCTGCTCTTCTTGGTACAGTTGATCCAGGGCCAACACGAGCCCTACGGCAGTCCGCATGGGCCACTAACAAGGCCTCTTCATTGGTGAGCCAGCTTGGAACTTTAGGACCTTATACAGTAGCTGTTACTGTTCCCGTGATATTGATCCTTCGTCAGAAGGACTGTAGCCCTGTGGACAGACATTGGGTTCAAACAAAATCGAAATTATGGATGGAATTACCTAAAAGGTTGCACTGTATACGAATGCATCCTGCTCTATGGAGAACACATACATACATGCTGGCATATGCAACACGCCACCCTCCAACTCTGCATGGCGTTAAGAGGAAGCTTACTTCTCTGAAACAATGTCCCAAGACATCCAATCAAACCTCGAACTATTTCCTGGAGAGAAACCTTGCGTTCCTGGTTTCTTTGCCTCCATAAGTTGTCCCAGCCTCTTCAGTACCCAGCTGAACCGCGGAATTCAGGAGAACTTGGAGTGAGACTTTATTGAGAGGTCTGCTAACCACTGATGTTAGTTCGAGAAGCCCAGAGGAGTCTGAAGGAGTGCAGAGGATCGACTGACTGTCAGTCCCCAATACGACAATGGACACACCCGACCTGGGAAGAAGCAGGCAAGGAAGCCCTTGGCTGTCTTGATCTCTTCTTTTTGTTGCTGACAATATCACGGAATTGATCATGGCTAGGGCCCATAATATACACTCGATCAGGAAGAACGAGTCGACCCGGGATTAGCCCGATAATCCTGATTCCCCATCTGCATTCAAACCGACCAAAGTAGGTAGATGGGAGACCCGAGGTACCTTAGACCGACCACCCTTTGCTTGGAACTAGGTTGCGAAGCTCTTTTGTCTCGGGTAGTCAGGTACCTGAACGCGCGGCACGCGACATATAGCCAGAAGAGCCATCAGTTTTGTTGGTGTCACATCACACAAAGACCAAGCAATCAGCAGTTGACGCAAGGGTTGGAATCAGTGTGCGGTGTATCACTGCAGAAATGATATGTCTTGCTTGCCGATTTGGACAGCATCGGTTCTGGTTCAAACAACATGCACAGTCATGAGGCTCGGAGACTGGCACACGCAACATGTACCGAGTTTGCACACAACGACGGATACGGATACAGCACCTCCAACACTCTTCTTTACTGGCCTGATCCAATCTGAGAGCTTCCCCTGTCGTCGCCGGCTTGGCCCAACGCCACACACGCCCCCTCCGAGTCTCCACATCAACTCCATCTCTCCCCATCTTCAGTGCTCCATGATATGTATCCTGTTGCCATAACCCCGGCTTGGCACCTTGGATCGCCATTTCCACATTCTACTGCCTTGCTCGACGGTCTTGGCCAATGTTAGCCAAGACTATACTGAGCATGGTCTGTCAATAATTGAAGCAGCTTTTCAGCCTCGCTTCTGACGCCGTAGCCGACACCGCTTCTCATCGAGATTCATTGCAATCAACACACGCGTGGACTGATCAAAGTATGGCTCAATGTCCGTTCAAGTACATATGGCATGGGTTAAACGAAACAAGTCGTTTCGTTTGCCATTGAAATTGAGGGTTTGCTGACAAACGAAAGAGGCAAGCCCAAGTCCATTTGCTACTATGTACGGAGTACATCAAGTGACATACAAGTGGTGTGGAAACAACGAGGAATTCCAGTGCATTGCCTGCGCTACCGTCTTCGTGTCTTCAGTGCTTATTTTGCAGTCTGGAATCTGGAGAGTGTGTCAACGGTTTGCTAAACCCCAAAGGCATTCGGATCTGCGATTCCACTCATTTAGGCATGCCCTTCTTTAGCTCTTCCACTATCTCGGCCGCTTCCAATGCACTACGGGCCTCAAAGTCATATCGTTTACTCTCGGTCGCTTTATACACAACAAGCTATTTGCGGCACTGTTAGAATGGCAGACTAAAATCAAAGGAACAGTAAACTCTCACCTTGACATTCGTGGGATGTTTCCGGAGGACTTTGCACCCAACCACGTTACTAAAGTGCACCGTTGTTGTCTTGCCTGAACCATCATGCAATGCCTTACCGCCAGACGCTGGCATGATATGAATGTACTCGCCGTCGATTACTAGAATGCGTTCGCTCATACCAACGATACGCATGGGCTGCTTGCGCCAAACAGTGTACTTCTTGTAGCTGGCGTTGCTGAGCTCATCTTGCTTCAGCGATTCTCGCGCCAATGGATGACTTCCGACCATGGGCGTTTGTGACTTCTTACTGCGTTTCTGCATGGCCTGCTCGGCCAATGGCAGCATCTTCGGGGACGAGCTGCCCGGCGAGCCGGTGATAGTTAACGGACCATCTGTTGCAAATCGTCGCCTGTACAATTCCAAGTCCGAGACATTCCCGATGGACGAAACTGGCCGGTCTAGCATGACTACCGCTCCTGATCCAGGAAGCTTAAGAACATGGTTGGCCTTGTCTAATTGTCTCTTTCGGCATACCATGTCCAGCACCTCAGCCAAGTAAGTATCAGTCATCACATCTAGTGTCACCATTTGACCCGGTGCGACATCTGATGACATGATATGAATCCGAAGCAGCTTTTGCTGCCCGCGGGATGTATTGGGAGCTGCAGCAGGTGCCTGGGGTATGTCTGCTGGAGGAGCGTTGGAGCGATATGTCGTTGTGACGATAGGATTTTGCCGCGGACGTTCCGATAGAAACCGGTTGATAGCCGGCCCTGGAGTGCCCCGAGGAGTCGCATCCGCATCTGGCTCCGTAGGAGTGAGAGGAACCCCGCCGCCGCTATCCTGTGATGTTGCTGGCTCTTCTTCTTCGTCTTCTTGTGGTGTGAGTGACTTATTCTCAAGGTACTCCTCCTCTGAAGCTGCTGCTAACGCAAAGTCGTCGTAAGCAGTTGAATTAGATCGCATGCGGCCTCCGCCGCGCGCAGCAGCATTGTTAACCGTAGTAAAAGATGTCAACGGTTTTGTTCTTTCAAAGGGGGGGAAATCGTCGTCAACTTCGCCACCTTCTTCCACCATACGTAGAGTCCACCAGTTAATATTGAGCTTGCCTTTGGGTAACGGAGGTTCGAGTTTCTCCTCGTTGTATCGGTATAAGCTCAAACCGATAAGGTCCGCAACCGTCACCACCCGCTCAGCACCTTGTCCGTCGTGAACACGTGGGCGGATTAGCACCTGGAATGGCTTGCTAGGTGTGATTGAGAAAGGTGCATATATACGCACAGCAATAGAACCTTGCGTACCCTGCCCGCTGAAATGAGCGAACTTCTGGAAGGGAATAGACGATTTCTTATCCTTGGCTTTTAGGGCGGCCGATAGCAAACTCTTGGGTTGGGCGACGCTCAAAGGCCTGATCATGCTCATCGGCCTGGGAGGTGGTAACGCTCCGAGGACGATGGGGTGCGCCGGCGGTTTGGATTTGCGAATAGTAGACTGGCGTACAAAGTTCTTGGGCGGTGTTCCCACAACCTGGCGGGTGGGAGAAGCATTGATAGCATTTTCGACGCCATCAAGAATCGATGCCGAGTCTATACTCTCGGCGTAGTTATCAGATAAGTCGGAAGCCTCGTCGGAATCTTCCTCCTCCTCTGGCAAGAGAGATGTGTCCGCTCGTTGAATACCGGGCGAGGGCTCCTCTAGAATTCTAGCCTGTAACTTGGCAGCCCTTGCCGCAGCGCGAGCAGCTTCTCGATGCCTCTGGACTGTCGGAATATCGGTCTCGTTTTCGGATGATATTTCACTGCTGGTGACTGTATCTCTCCGGGGCCTCTCCTGGACTGTGATCAAAGCTGACTGTGAGCCTCGGCGAGGCGCCCTTGGTGAGACAGCTCCGACCTGCCTCAAGTTCGTGTTCTGTAGTGGCGACGAGCCTGCTCTGTGTCTGACTGGCATTTTTGCAAACTTGATCTGTTGCGCAGCCCGCTGGTCCGTATCGTCGTCACTCTCATCGCTCAAGTCACTACTGTCCTCTTCCTCCATCTGCTCGCGACGCCTGCGCCGCCTGGTAGCCATTCCTGGACCCATAGTATCCGAACCGCCCGCAGTGAGCATACCACCATCTTCTTCCCCATCTTCGAGTGTGAGGCCAGCCTGCTTTGGCGCTTGGAAGTACTCGGAGGCAATCGCAGTAGGAATTGGAGGTGAATGTGTCCGCTTGTGGTGGGACGAATTCGGTCGCCAGCCGGCGGCTTTGAAAGGAGCCGAGTTTATGAAGCCATCGTTGACGTTTAGGAGTCGCTCTCCAACACCGTCTGCAATTTCATCAAGGTAGCTCGTGCGAAGCTGGTAGGAGACGAGTCTGGGCGGGACGTCAGCTTATGAATCCGTGCAAAGTCATTACCAAAGACATGATCGCACTCTTCAAGTTGTATGACGGACATAGTCGCGACTAATTATGCGTGATCGCTTCACCCTGTGAAGTCAAGAAATTGCCGAGAGCCGAGTAACTGCTTCAACATGTTTAACACTGCCCCAAGCCGTTTGTAGTCAAGAAATCGAGAATCTAAAGCAGGGACTGTATCATCGCTGTAACTAACTGCTACCTCTAGATAAGGTTAGGTAGGTAGGTAGTCGCGACAAGCACGAATTGAGCAGTGGGGTAATTTAGGCAGTACCTTAGGTAGCACCTACGGATACTCCGTACTCCGTAACTACCAGTACCTATTTATTTGAACTCACCTTACCCTTGAGTGTGGAGCACAGCCTCGTCAAGATGTGGCTGCATTGTCGGCACCGTCATGTTCGAAGTGGAACCTTTTAACTTCATATCGCGATGCTCAGCTTCACGATTCTTTCGTACTTTCACTATCACACCAACTAACTAATCGAATAATCGACCACCATGGGCCTTGTCGACTATTCCGACTCGGAGGGCTCAAGCTCCGAAGCCGAAGTTCAAGCTCCTGTCAAACCAGCCCCTAAATCATCTGCATCTTCCAAGAAGCCTTTCCAAAAGGTTGTCGATAGATCCAACCCTGGGAAAATCGTTGTCAGCCTCCCTCAGCTCGCCAACAATAGACCGCAAGCCGAAGAACCCCCAGAGAAACGGACCAAGACTGCCGGTGGTGGTAGATTCTCCGGTTTTAATTCGTTTCTACCAGCGCCCAAGAACGCGAACAAGCCCAAACCCGTGGCATCGAGCAGTTCGATAGCGAGACCAAGCTTTCAGTTCAAGACTAGCGCAGCTCCAGGATTCAGTAGAGACGCAGGAGGCGACCTGAAGAATTCAGACGACAACGCAGACGGCATGAGCCTACCGACTCTGAAGGCTGCCGCGCAACCACATATACCTGAAGGACAAAAACCAGCGGACGAGGTTAAGTTGGTGGGCAAGCCATTGATGTTCAAGCCTCTGTCTGTGGCAAGGAACCCCCAGAAGAAGAAAAAACTGAATTCTGGGCTGGCAAAACCAGCGCCGACTCCCGCACATGAACAGGCTCGACTGAAACCGGCTGAAGCAACACCAGAGGCCACGCCAGCCGTTCCCAAGAAGGTGTCGCTGTTCTCTTTGCACACAGAAGAGCCTTCTGAACCTGCAGACAGGAGTTCTTCAGGCACTTACGAACCAATGTTTGCGACAGCAGAAAGCTCATTGACCTATGATGAGGGCGCATTTGGCGACTATGCCAGCCATGCGCAAGCAGGTCCATCCGCAACAACATTGCCAGGCTCTGAGTCCCTTGATACAGTAGTGGAGGACCTCAAGCTCACTGCCGCTCAAAGAAGAGAGCTCTTTGGCCGCAATGGCCTGGGCAACCAAGCAGCTAAGAAAGTTATCAACTTTAATATGGACAAGGAATATAGACACAACGAAGAGATTCGGGCCGCAGGAGAGGAACAGACCCACAACCCTGTGCGTGCGATCCAAGGAGGTGGAAAGCACAGCTTGCGCCAGTTGGTACAGAACGCACAGAGCCAGCGCGAAGCTCTTGAGGATAGTTTTGCCAAGGGGAAGAATAATCGAAAAGAGGCAGGGAGCAAGTACGGATGGTAGTGATGACAATGATACCCAGATTCATTTAATATATTCAAGAATGGTACCATCTATCGTCCCCCATTTTTGTCCAGAATATTTACTCCACAAACATATGCTGTCCTCTATAACGCTGAGATCTAATATGCCATGTAACAAAGCATACGTGCAATCGAACAAAAGGGGTGTCTTGAAGCCAAAACGCTCGCCATGCAACCTTTAAAACAAAACAGAAGAGAGCAGAACAATTAAGCCTACAATATCAAAAGATCTCAACTCCGGCCTTGCGACCGCTCTGAAAGGCATTGTCTGCCATCATGAAGCCCCATTCTCCCCGCGTGGTGGGCGAAATATCGTCATAGTCATGTGGTGTTAACGGCCCAAACCTTGGTGATGCTGGACTCATGATGGGTGTTGGCGTAAGGGGACTGAAAGCGCTTCGATTGATGGGACCGGCGGTTAAGATTTGATCTATCGTCGAAGGTGGCTCCCATTGTTGCATTGTGAAATACAATTGATCTGTCGGTCGTGCTGTGCGATCGCCATCTTCCTCCTCCTCTACCTCGGTCTGAGTTGGTGCTTGAGTTGGCGTTTGAGCTTGAGCTGGAACCGAAACTGGAGCTGGAACTTGAATCTTCTTGGGCTTTGGTTTCAGAATGGGGCCCGGAGTGAAATTTGTCTGGAGTTTAAGCAGAGGCTTGGGCGAGGGCGTCTTCCCTTTGGAGACAGCCATGCCAATTGTCGCCTCCTCAGCCTCTTCTTCCTTGTATCGTTCTTGTGAGTCGCTGATAGGTTTTATGGCTGGCTCCGCAAAGCTAGTAAGACCTGAGATGCCACCATACTGCTCTGGTCCTCCATACGCCCGCCTATACATGCGATCAAGGTCCACAAGTGCCCAATTAGATACACTCAGCCAGTCATACGACCGGAGGATGGCGGTTTTTGAAACCTTTGCACCATTGGTTGCCAGGATGATACGCCGGAGTTCGTCAACGGCGTCTTCGAGGCGGAGGTGAGATTTCGTTTTGGAATAGCTGGACAAGGCACTCTTGAGACTGTACAATCTATCGAGTGATAGAACTGTGAGGCCTTCGGAGCAGAAAAGGACCTCGTTCTGGATGATGGAGCTATGGATGAGCTGATTGGTGAGCCCGCACGAGGAAGCTCTGACAGCAGGTGATAGCCACTCAGTGCTTTGGCGAGTTAGTTATGTTCTATGGAGGAACAAGGTGTCTTACCCTATCGCAAACTTCTTCTCTGTCTTGCTCAAAATCGAGTTGAGGATCTTTTCGGACCTAGGGTGGAGCTCGTTGGTGTGGATGAGTCGCATACCGAAGCCTGACGAGGCGCTCATCATTGAGCTCATGGTATCGGTGGTTGTCGATGATGCGGTGCAAGGTGTCATGGGAGGAGGAGACATTGGCGTGGATGGTGAAAGAGGCCATCTGAACCGAGGGCTGGACGCTTCAAGCGGGGGGACTTGACCGGGTGAAGACAGAGCACTTCGCGGAGAATTCATCGACCGCAGGGATGTTGAAGAGCCAGTTCTCACCAGCGATTTGAGCCTGGAGACAGGACCTTGAGAGAGGTTCAACCGAAGGCCAGGAGATAATGGTGAAGGAGTCGTCGGAGTCAGCAGACCCTTGGGGGGCACAACAGAAGGGAGTTGATAGTCCCGACGGGCTACAACAAGTGTGATATGTTGCGACTTGCGGGCCAGACGCGAGGATACATGCTCGAGAGCCGGTGCCAGATGAGGTGGCAGGTGATGAGCATCGAGGATTGAGGTACCAGCCTCGAGGGGTGACGAGATCCTACCCTTGAGCGACATTCTGAAGTTTCGAAGTCGTGCTTCAGTAAAGAGGACGACTTGACCTAGCGTGATATGATCTGGCAAAGAACGAGGAAAACCAACAAGCGGCAAGGTGCACTGAGAAGAGAGAAAGGAGAGAGAGAGAGAGAGAGAAAGACACGAAGATACAACGAGGTGACCGAACCAAGAAAAAAAGCCGCACAGCAGCTGTGATATCCTCTCAAACTTGATGATATTGTGAACCCGCCGTTGTCGTCGTGATCCTGCGTCAGAAAGTTTCAAGAGCAGAGAGAAACAAGTGGACGAAAAGAGTATTAAAAGAGATGACCGCGTCAGAGCTTATTCTTCCCCGGACATGTTCTATCTAAAAAAAGAACGAAAAGGCAGCTTGTTTATGTTTCACCATCCAGTCACTTTTCCCCTCCCCCTGGTGGCCTCCCACTGAGCGGCCCGCCTGATAACCTCGGTGGATGTGGATTGACATGGACATGGACATGGGGGGGAGGGATATGAAACGGAGGCGTGCCAAGATGAGTAAGGCTCTGTTGTCGTGAGTTGTGAGAAAGGGGAATTGCGGCATCAATCACTCGCAGTTGATCAGCAATTAGCGGTGATATACAGATAGGATAGGACAAGATACCTCTGGTGGTTTACATCAAGATGCAGCCCCGCTGTGAGTGCCCAATACGGCTTAGTCAAGGGATCTCGGCGGCTAACGTGCATTAGTGGCAGCTCGGCTACTATTTTGAGCTGCTGGCGGGGTTGACAAGACGGACTGTGATTGGCCAGCTCTAGCCTTATACTTAATTTAGAAGGTCGTTGGCGGCCTGGCAAGGCATGTGAGTGGCTGTATGCATGTGAGTGTGACTGATGAACTCGCAGATTTTGATCGAGCAGGGGATAGACGGACTATCACTTGTAGATACTATGTTAAATAAGCTAATATTGATCATGTTTATAGCGAGAAGCTCAACGGTCAGATCTCCATAATCTAGCGGAAACAAAATATCATCAAGACTGACTTTACTGTGTTCGTATGTATGTATGTATTCTCCCTTGTTCTAAAAACAGTTCCTTATCCTTGTCCATCAACACCACTCCCTCCCCCGTTCTGTTCCTGCGTTTCCTCCCCTCACTAACCTCGACACCATCATGATCGCTGCTCTGATCTCGGCAGTCGGGCTGTGACCATGAACCAACAGTTCCCATCTCCCGGGTCAAATCATCTCGACAGCCACATACCAACTCTCAGATCCTTGATGCCTTTCAGTGAATCTAGCAGCCCAGGATGGGCATGGAGCACATGTATGAATAATATGTTGCTGAAACATCAGCTTCTTCTATTGCTATCGTGAATCAAAGCAAAAACCTCGCTTGAAACGCTTCAACCGTATCAAGGACAAGCAGAAACACATCTCCATATCAGAGTCTCGCTGTTGCAACTATAGAGACAATTTTCCAAACCAACTAATTTTCGCATATCTGTGGAATGGCATCGTAGCATTGGCGTGCTAAGGCTGGTCACCATTTTGGTCCGGTAGCTAAAGATAGCTTTTCAGCCAGCCGCCAGCCTGGCCTGTCGGTACCGTCACGACCTGGATCTTCAATGTTTGGGCCAGGGCCTCCCAGTCTAATTCGCGTGTGGAAATGGATAGCAATAGCCAGTATTTTCTCCCTTCGCCTGTCGCACGGCTTAGAGATACCGTCAATCAGAGGCTATTCTCAAGTCGCTATTCATAGAACAACATGGCGCCACCCTCACTTCACCTAGCGGTAACAGATACAATTCTGTTCTAATCTGGATGTGAATTCGTTTCAAGGTTACCGAGTTCACCAGGAGATGCCCCGCGGCTTACCGGACCATCTACCTGGCTATCATGAATCATGTGGTCGTGTATTCGTTGACCCGGCAGACTGCCTGTCAGCTGTTGAGCCTCATACTGTCCTGGCTTTGAGGAACAGACTGGGAGCTCGTCTTTTTCTCTGTCTGTTTCAGTCATGACTCCCTCATCCTATTCATCTTATTTTCCATGACGCCATCACTCCTTGCTATGCAACTTTGCTCCAGAAACACTTGCTTCTGCCTCGACACCATGACTGTGCATTGATGTTTTGAGCCTGATATACCATCCATTGCCCACTCATTCTTCAAGCTAGGGTCCAGTCGAAGCACACCATCAATAAGCTCAGAATAAGATTCACCCAGCTTCCACTAAACGCCTTTCCGTCCTTGTCCGTATATGTGTATATGTGTCCGTATCCGTGTCTGTTGCAATTTTCTGGTTTCGAGCAGCCGCAGTGGATCGTCTAAATTTCTTGGGTATAATCCCAACCTCATGACATCTGCTCCAGATCGTTTATTTCGTTCATGCCTGGAATGTTCATCTCAACAATGTCATCAAGTTGTTCAGATGACCCGCAGGATCCTTCCCAGTCTTTGCCCAACGTCAGCCGTCGCCTCATGTCTTTTATAATTGTGTTGGAGTCGCTGAGCGACTGTTACATACCGGACCCATCTTCCTCCAGTTCGTCAACAATTAGCCTGCGGAAGGGATTCAAGACATCTGTGAAACATGTGAGCCTTTTGGTTAATGATACTGGATAGAATTGTAGAGAAAATGACCTACCGTCCTGCAATGTGAGGAATTCCACATCTAGATCGGGTTGTGTATCCGTTGTTATTGCCATCGTAGCTGCACATCCCTCAATTACCTTCAAGAACTTGTCTGCAATTTCCCGACTCATTTGAGCCCGTCTGCGCACATGGTTGTCCCTGAGATACTGGAGGCAAATAAGGCCGATTTGCTTCGTCATCTGTCTGATTGAGACTTGATCATCCGCAGTGACATCGCGGTCACTGGTAGCACCAGCATCAATCTTACCCAACTCGCAAACTAAAAAGTCATGTGTGCTCCGGCGCACTTGTTCTTCAGGGCTTGCGAGGAGAAAAGGTACCCATTTTGGGATGAGGTCACGGCTGAACGTGCGGACTGCCCTACAAAATTCCCTGTCTTGTTGGCGGAGATCCAATGCCGTTCTGAAAAATTGAACAAAATACATGCCCTCAGTGTTTTGAAGACTTCTCGCTTGCATAGTTACGTGTTCAATCATGTCCTTGGCGTTGCTGAGCTGTTCTGTGCTTTCGAGGTACGTGATAGAAGCCCGCAGAAACGGATCCATGGCCTGGGTCGAGGTCTCACCACGGATA